AAGTGCAAAAGTATCGTATTTTATAAAATAAAAAAAAAATACAATTGCAAATTTTGGAATGACGGCATCCCATTAGTGATGGAATGGTCAGCCACCATTTGGTTAGCGTTTTACCATCTACACGATATTCCTAATACGCGTATAAAATTTGATAACTATTGAGACGGTCATTCTGTCTAATAAAAACTGACACAGACCGAAAAGGGAGACCACTTTTTTCGTTTTCTAGGGGTCTTCAAACGTCGAGAAAACATGAAAGTGACAAGTCGCCCGATGGACTCGACTACTATACTTCCTTAACAGGGACAGGAAGTCATTTATATGTAACATCCTTGGTCGGAAATGATGAGTCATTAATGACACAGGTAACAAACATAGAAAAGCAGAATCTCAGTAAGCAACATTTTTTTCGTATTGGTTTCACAATATTGTCGCTATCCTTTTTCCATCTGGTCGAGCGATTTCCTGCAGCAGCCCTCCGCATGTCCTAGTTCCATACGATTGTTTTGTCTATGAGTTTGTTTATATATACTGTTTCACCGGGACATACGAAATCACAGAATGGATAAAAATTTATTTTGGAGATTCTTCTGGAGACTTTCCTGCATTCATGCACGAGTACTTTAGTTTTGTCTATAACATCCATTGTACTCGTAGTAATTGATGTATAATGCTATTAACAATGGAAAACTATGAATTGTTCTAAAGCACACGGATAAGTACAGTGTAATAAATAACAGAATCTAGTTATTGTATTCTCACATTGTGGAGAAAATCGGGTGCCTTTTTTGTTTTAATGAGGGACACACAATTGCAACGCTGTAGGATTCGTATTCGAGATTTTCACTGGGAAAGCAAGTTTTACACCATAAAGCCTATAATGTGACAAAAGAGGAAAAAACTTAAATAAATTGAGTGATTCATTAATTTTTTGACTCGTCCTGTATAAGCAAACCTAAGAAATATGAATAGAAGTATAATCTGATCATTTTCGAAAGGATTTATTCGGAAAAATTATGAGCTGATGTCATCAATTTTTGAGAGGAATAAGTAAATATATTTTGATTAAACATTTATCATGCTTATCAAAATTCATAGCTTTAAAACGGCATTCGGTTTTGCAGATTCAAAATCAAATTGCAAAATGTTCTATAATTTTGTGTTTCTTTTCCAAAAATCTGGTCGTTTCGGGCAAAAACTCAATACGGAATCATAAACTACATGTGTAAGACCATGTTATTTCATACAATTTAAAACTCATTTACTATGTACAATTTTGTGAGTGACGTCATCATTGGTGGGAATGATTAGACAAATTTTAGTAGGCGTTTTTTATCTACATGATAATCCTAATATAAATACAAAATTTGACAACTATCGGCCCAGTACTTTCGAAGATCATCTGTCTAATAAAAATCAGGACGGCAGACAGACGGACGGACAGACAGACAGACGGAAACGGGAGACTTATTTCTTCGTTCTCTAGGGATCATAACGGATTACAATACTTCCTTCGCTTACACTCGGGAAGTAATAAAGAGACAGAAATAAATGACAAGGAAATAAAATATAATAAAATTTCTTAATTTGATGTAATGAATTTAAGCAAAAATGTCCACATTATTTTCAACTGAACCATAATTAGGTAACATCTGACAAACAGGCGACGCTTCGAGAATATACTCGTTCGAGTTTTAGAATCGTAGAAAATGGAATGCCTGATAATTCCATTACATAATGAAACTTCAAAAAAAACTTTTGCGATATCCAGTCTGGGCTATATATTAAAAGGCGAATCGTTTTATATATAAAAAATTGGTCGGAGGTTATTTCGATAAAACTTCCCTCCATCTTTTTTGTGATAACCTCTATACAGTATCTAGGTAGTATCTGTCTAACAAATATCGACACAGACGACAGACACAGACAGACAAACGGAAACGGGAGACGTACTTTTTCATACTCGAAGGCCAAGAAAAGTCGAAAAAACTTACACTCGGGAAAAAAAACTGAAATCTATGAGCATCGTTTCGATAAACTGGAAATATTTAAACAACTTAATAATAACATCTTCCTTAGATTCAGCAAAACAAAGTTGCACCCTCTACAACATGAATATCATAAATCGGAAACCATCGAACTCTGGCATATTCCAACCTAGGTCTTATATAACATGACAATATTAATATCAGAAAATAATAAATATTTGAAGCAGAAGCGACAACTCTGTATCAAGATGTTCACGAAAGGTTAGTTTACGGTTAGAAACCACTCCACGATCTTTATGCGCTTCAAGCGTCATCAAATTTATATTATTCATGGTATAACTAGACAACAAAATATTTAGTCTTATATTACAAACAAAAATGTAGTAAAGGGTGGCCATTACGAGCATAATGTCATCCATGAACATGACAAAAATTAATATTTTGTCGGTCTGGAGTAGTTATACTGCACAAACTGGTACATATCTAGCCGTCAAATATAACATAAAGAATAGGCAACTCATTAGAAAGTCCCAGAGGTTTCATTTTGGCTACTGATTATTTGTTTTCAATGCGGTCAAATGATGTGTAAGTGATGAAACATTGTTGATTTGATGTATTGGGTAAAATTCTCTAATAAATATAAACTCAAAAATTTTACAAAATTTACAGGTCTATAGTTTTGTATAAGTAGAGCTAAGATGTGAAATTTTCGAATCTCTGGAAAAATCCTACACATTACCATATTATTAAAAATGATTGCTAGTGGTCCTAGGAAATAAATTTCCAATACCAAATTACTCACTTTTTTTAATTGCTTTTAAAACTTCATATTTGGTTATTTGTGTTGTACAAAATACTTAAACAAAGGGGTCATTATCTGAAAATTCAGAAAAAGAGCTGGAAAAACACTATGCAAAAAACTATTAACTAACTATATGTATATTCTGCGAATTATTACATGTATATCTCTTGTTCCATCACATCATAACATTTTTATGGAAACAAAAACAAATTTTTAAGTGTACGCAGTTCATTGTTTCTATAATTTCGAAGCATTCTAGACACGTCTACATTATTATTTACGTCCTATTCGTGTAAATATTTTAGAATTATTGTTAAATATATAAACTTGTATCAAATGATGTCACTCAAGTGTTGAACTTCTTTCTACGATACTTTTTAATCCACTGATCATACCGAATAGCAATTTCACAAATTACACATTCTAAAACATTCTATATACGTACATATATATTTCATCAATTTTTCCTAATTTTCTCGAAATATTATGTCAAGGTAATAAAACCAACTTTACTTCAAGTATTTTCTCTAAAACATAAATCATAAATGAACGACATACGTTGCACCACTCGCTTGTCGGACATGACCTGTTTTTATTTCTTTTCCTTTAAATGTTTCAGTAGTACACGTACATAACGTTTGTTTTTAAGAACATAATCTTCTCTATTACAAATGTATTAATACACTTTGGCGTAACGAACATTACAAGGACTTGTAAGATGTTTATAGATATGTAAATAAAACACTTTTTGTTACTCTTTGTATGAAGATCAACTTACAATTCAAACAATAAATGCTTCAGCTGGTTCACTAAAATTGCATATACACATATCTTACATATCTAAAATTGGTTAAAATCAATCACGCTATATTTTCGCTCCATGTCCTTTTGTTACTAGATGTACATTAATATCATTCAGATGAAAGAACACTGCCAATTTTTTTCTATTAATGTCCTCCATAAAATCGATAACGTCATACCAAAATTATCGTTAGCTAAATCTCCACCCTGTTTTAACTTTACAAATACTGTTCGGATCATAAAATTTTACAGATCATTCCAGAAATTATAAAACAGATTTTATCAAAATTTTATTACAATACTGATATAGAACACGAACTAATTTTTTATGTATTCTCCTCCAAAATTGATGACGTCATCATGCCTAAAAAGATCGTTAAAATGCTGACGTGCATGATGTATTTGTTCTGCTCCAAGAAGAGGTAATTTCGAATTAATACAGTTAGGTACGGAATTTTTATGTGTCTAATATGATCAGTTTCAGAATCAAGTTCTACCAATAACTTGCTTGTCACTGCCTTAGCAACAACAATAAAGTTTGAATCTGTATCTAATTATCCGCCACCCCTTTTCAAGTTTCTATTTGCAGCTACTAGCATTACTGACGACTTTTCACTCAATTCCGTATTACATGGAAATTCCTACTGTCAAAAGCTTCTCGTGAAAACACTGTCAATTTAGTGTATTGAGCATATTCTCGCTGTCAAATTACAGCCCTCAATAAACCACAACCCAATTTTGATCGCATCACACTCCCTTGACGAAGTTGTCAAATTTCCACTTTCAGGGCGGAGCTTAAAGACGAAAGAGCCAATCCGATTCCCTTTATCCAAAAACAAAAGACATCAAACCGTCACCCCCCAAATGGTCCCCCCTTCAGAAAAACCTGAAAATTTCCACCCCCAATTGAGAACACGTGACCCCGACACAAAACAAACAAATCCATCCTCTAATTCCCCACGAATTCCTCCCCAACGCATCGATTACCCCGCTCGGTCACCCCTTCTTCCAATTGATTAACAATTACCCCAAACAAACGACGATCGCTTTCTCAGGGGTCAAAAATCACAGCCGCCCGCCTTACCTGTCACTCACTTGTTTATTTATTTACTCGTTTACTCGTTATCTGCGGGGGCGACGGGGTTCCCCGGCATTGCACATTGTTATTATTACCGGAAATTGATCGATCGCCGCCCCCGGCCGCCCCCCGCGATCGATACGCGATCGACGTAGTGTTAAGACGCCACCTCGCCCGATCAAGGCGGCGACGACAGGTGAAACTCGCTTGTCGTTGTTGCGTTTCGCCATTTTGTCGCACCTGCACCGTCTCGGTGGGGCGGTGCACGACTTGGGTTCGGCGGAGTCGGGGGCTTTGGCGGCGGCGGCGGCGGCGTCCCGTCATGGCTCACCTGTGTACTCGAACGTCTCCGTCGACGAGACGATGGCCGCCAGCAGAAGGGCGCCGATGGTCGCTTGCAGTACCATGGTGGTACACAAAGGGCGTCTGGAGAGTTCAACACACGGGACACACGCACTGGAGCCGATTTTTTATGATAAACACACGATTTTCATAGCGGTGCACTAAATTATGTCGTCATGGACGGCTGGGTTTTCATTGACTGTCTCCCCTCCCTTTGTGTGAAGGGAAGTAGGTGCGGACGATAGAGGGCGCCACACACGCGCCACCTGAAAGGCGCTGGTTTTAAATCGCTGCTATGGAGAAGCAAAAAAATTTGAAAATCATTTACGAAAAACGAGGGAAACTATGAAAAATTGTGGGTCAATAATTATAGTAATACAAAAAAACCATGTGCTAAAAACCAATTTAGCGGAAAAACATTAGAAGCAAGGAAATCCGTTCATAAATGGATGTCACTGCACCTGGTGGCGTTTGTATAATTGGTTGCATACACAAAAACCCTTTCACAGACCTTTATGTGTATTACGAATTAAATCACTGTCTTCAGGATTAAACATTTTGTTTTTTTTTATATATAAGATAAATTCAAATTACAAAAGCTTTTTCATTTATCGCCTTTAAAATACAGTAAAAAATTATACACATACAGTTACGACCACGGAATCTCGGGCATGCTTTGTTGTTATTATGACTAACGTGTATGTAGGTATCTAAAGTGAAAATGACAACCCGACAAGAATGACTAAAATTACAAGTAAGGTACCTTATGAAATGTTTAACAAATTATATCAATGAAATTACATCTCTTGATCTGTGCCCGAAATTCATAACATATAATAACAACATTAATCCATTACAATCACTCAGTACAGTTACAATTACATATTATTTTTTTTAATTCATTACAATTACTCATTACTTTTAAAAAGTAATGCATTACTTTAACAATTACTTTTTGCACTTTGAAACATTTGATTAAGACACCATTTTAGGTATTTATTATATGGATCCAAAGGGTCAAGAAAAAACGTGTTAGAATGAAAAAGGCAGTGAGTGATTAAAACAAATAAATTCTTCACGCAAGAGGACTATATTCATAATTTAAATTCAATAATAACACTAAACATTCTTTCCACTGCGGCACCAGATAGAATTGTTGTGGGACAACATGTTACATATATTTTTCCAAAAATTGAAGAACCAATTCTTTTGCGCCCAATTTCATTACACTCTAGCCACAAATAAAAGTTCGATGGCAACAGCAACGACTTTTAAAGAAAAATTTGCATTGTTGCGAGATTTCAAAATATCTTATTGACTACGTGTAAATCTATCATAAAATATTAGTCCACCGATAATTACCTGCAGACGCAAATCTTTTAATCTTTAATAAAAACAATATTCCTAAATACTAAGAAGAGGACTACAAGATAATGTAAACTTAAAAGCCTGTCTTTAATTGCCTCTTACTTAATGGCGTTGTGACTTACAGATTAAATTTAGAAAACCTTACAGGGTGGACACTCGTAAAATTTTATTGTCGGATTATGAGGGGTTTAGAAGGACGGGCTCTATCGGTTAGCTGTTATAAATTTGAGTGGACCAGAAAAATGGCCAAAGTTTGTTTGACAACAAATTTTAAATATTCTGCCCCTGTTTACTCAATTATTTATTAAGATATTTTATTTCTGTAAAGTGCAATGGATTTTTTAATACAATTTCTACGAATGTACCTTTTTGAAAATTTAAAATTGATCCATAAATAGCGAAAACCAGATAATCTCATACTCATCGCAATTTTAACGCGTTCTAGTTTTTTTTAACAACAAAATTTAAAAAACGAAAAAGCAGTCTGGGTAAGATTTTTTACGCTCATTTCAACGGTGTGAACTTTATTACAATCGAACGCATACTTTTGGCAAAAACTTGGGCCGAAGTTTACATGTATTTCCCTATGCTTTAGCTCACCCTTAAAACGATGAAGAGCTTCTGTATATTATGGCTATTCTACCTGGTTTCTTAACAAATTCTGTGCTAAACTCGTTTTAGATTTTAGACTTTTAGATTTTCCCTACTGGGTTAATCTTCTCTTTGTGGGAACGAATCAGATATAATAATCCCAGCAGGTCAGGTAAACGATTCGTAGAGAAAAACAAAACAATATTTTTGAGTACCTATTTGGGTTAAAAGTAATTGCAAAAAGTAATTATAAAAGTTTACTCAAAAAATGTAATGAATAACTAACTGTAATAATTTATTTTATGCGAGAGATTGATAGTTCCTTGAATTAGTTTGTTATGCCTAACTGACCAAATATTGCAGCTTCCATGTGTTTGACCTCTATAATAATTAATTACTAGTCTATAATTTCGTACTCTTCCCATTAATAAATTAAAAATTATGCCACTTGTAAATTTTTATCTAAAAAACAAACTTGATGACATTCCAAGCTGTTAACATTTCAATAAATAATAAATTAAGTAAATAACAATTTGGAAAGTAAAATATTTTTTTAATTAAAAGTTAATAACACTTGACTTTTAAATACATATACCCATAGTATATGTATGTAGTGTATTTCCATGAAACCCACATTTAACGTTTATATTTTCAGTTATTTTTTGATAGAATTTTTTTTGAGGTGACATCTTCATGTGATTATAGGACATAAATAAATAAAATTTTGTTAAAATCCTGTCATCACTAAATTTATAAAATTTCATTTTTTAAGATTACCCTTAAGTTATAATGTTATAAATAACAGTTAGAATAGAGATGAACTGCGAAATCATTAGTTAAAAAATACAATATACTGTATGTACCAAAATAACAACATTTGTATGTTCCTAAAATGTCAGGAAAATCAGACTGATTATTTTTTTTAATAAACAAGACATGTCGCTATTTTTATAATTTTTGTGACAGTTTTATTATATAAATAATTATTATCAAAACATTTTTCCAAAAGCACAAAAACAATACATCTCGTAGCACATTACACTAAAATAGGCAAACCCGATATTTGTATACCGGGTGTCTGCAAAATGACGGGTTAACTCTTCAGTATGTTATGTACGAGGGTTTTGGGAGTCCCAAAACAATAATAACAAAATTCTTTATCATCTAGATTACGAAAAAAACGTAATTTTATGAAAGTAAAATTGGCAACACTGCACGCACCTAATGAGTCAAGACCAAGAAAATAGAGGGCGGGTTAATACCTGCTAAAATAAGATCGATTTTGGCAAATGACATACCCACTAAGAAAACAGGGGGCGGGTGGGCGGGGCTACTACCTGGTAAGATAAGAGTGATTTCGGCAAATGAAATACCCTCAAAGAAAGAGAGGGCGGGTGGGAGGGGCTAGTACCTGCTAAGGTATGACTGATTTTAGCAAATGAAGTATCCTCTAAGAAATTTAATTAAATTATTATAAGAAAAGAGACTAGAGGCTCCAAAGCATTTTCAGATTCTTTCCCATCAGAAATACCTAGAATCTCAAGATTGTTTTAAATTTTTCCAAAAAAAAACTGGATATTAAAATTAACTCAAAAACAGGTAAGTCAGAATTTTCCACAAATAGAACACCAAAGTCCCCCAAAATTGTTTTTAATAATCTATCTATCTATCTATATTAATAAAAATGAATCGCCGAAATGTATGTACGCTCATAACTTCAGAACGGCTGCACTGAATTGGACGATTCTTTTTTTTACGTGTTCCTTATTGTCAGGACAAGGTTTATATGTAAGAAAATTTATAAAAAATAAGACGGCTAAAAGATTTAAAAAAAAAAATTGCATGGGAATCGCCACTTCGAATGAATTTGAATAGTTGGCGTTTCTGACGGACCTGTCGCCTAACTGACGTGTCATACAAAACTATTTCTTCCGTGCGATTGTAAAAAGTATGATTGCATTTCAAGTCGTTGTTTGTTTTTTCGTAACAAGAAACGTCGTTTATTTTAAGAAAAGTGTTCGTTAAAGTGAATTTAGTTACGCATTGCGAAAGTTTCTTATTAATTTTGATCTGCCATTCTATTTACGTATATTCACTTTGTTGGTTTCGATAAAACCTCAAACTTTACCGTTACTCGAGGATTTAATTTGAAATTTTCAATATTTTAAAATTCTCAAGACAAAATTTACAGATCTGATTGACGGTGAAAATAATTCTGTGTCGTTTTATGCCGAGAAGACGACAAGCTGACATACGTCCACGAAGTCAATCAAATGTGCGACGAACTACCTCAGGTGCAAATCGCAATGATTTATTTCATGGGTAATTCGGATACGGAAGTTGATCAGAGTTGTGCTCATAATCAACATAATAGTCAAACATTGAAGCGAGACATTGGGTGGTATGAATAAAACTGAGTAGATACTCATATTCGAAGTACGAAGTACCTACTTGCAAACATTGTATCTCCCCGGACACAAATTGAACATCTACGCGTTTTGTGAGCATTTAATCTAAAAATGAGCATCGGTGTGGCAAATGACTATTTGTCCTTATAAATAATAAATTAAATGTAATATATTTTTGTTTCCTTAAGAAAGTTAGTTGAGTTACAAAAGTCTCTTTTGCTCCACGTTGGCCACCAACGAGCGATTTTCAAGATTTTTGTGAAACTTTGCAGGTTTTGAATTTGAATTTTCTGTCCTCGATAGTTGATGCTCAGCAAGAACCATGGGAAGGTCTGGAGCAGATCTCGCTAGGAAAGGAGAGGGCTAGGATTTGTTAATGAGGGATAGAACGTTATACAGTACAATACAATGGAAATACAATACAGGTACCTACAATCTAACTACAATACAGAATACACTACAGATACAGATACAATTCAGATACAATACAAATGCAAAGTTAGTAGCCAATACACCACCGGAAGAAATTGCACCAAAAATTGAGAATGTTGCAAAATGAAAACCCAAGCAAGCACACCCATGGAACTCGGAACGAAATCTATTGGTCGCAGCGCTCACACGCCCAAGGGAGAACACAGCCGCATAAATCCAAGGCCGACTGACCTCATCCTTATAGGAGATGCGACCCAGCGTCTAAGGGCCAACAGAACCCCCCCAGGCCAAAGCGTCTGACGACATGGAGAATTCAGACCCGGAACCAAAGAATGCACTGTTGCAAAATTAAAACCCAAGCAAATACACCATGAAAACAAAGCATTTGCACCACTGGAGCTAAACTGGCAAAACC